TTTAATTTGTTATTCTCAAACGGTTTCCAGCCAGAGACACGCACACTGTGTTTTTTGCACGGCCAACACTTGGACTTATTCTCGCACTGGCAAACATAAAACCAACCATTTCAGCTTGAATTCCCTAAACAGACAAGCGTTGACAGGAATAGACCAATGTAGTGATGGAGGGATGTGAATGTCACATGTTTTCAGTATAATATACACCGCCCTTCTATTTCTATCTCCACCCCTCCGTCAAGTGTCAATTCTGCTCCACCGCAATCAATCAGTTATTTGTCAGACGCTGTCAATCCGGCGCTTGATTTATGTCAGCTATTGTGGCTGATTACATGCCAGTGTGACTGCAGGAGAAGAACAAATGGGGAGATAGACGTTCTGCAGGAGACACAAAGTTTTAGGAGGAAATAAATCCATTTCCATTTAAATGTTAGATTATTCAGGCAAACGACCCCTTTCTCATTATGTAGAGAAAAAAGAAAAATCTTATTAAACTACTTTTTTTATTCTGTAGGCTATACACTGTTCAAAAAAGTATGTAACTTTCCGAGTTAGTCATTAAACCCTTCGGAAGAGACACACATGATGAAACTATAATAACTTGCAGACAGTCCTCACATGTTCTATGAAGTATAGCTGTTATAGGGCTTTACGGTGCCAAAGTGCTTTTCCTGTAATCGGCCGATTATGGTGTCAACAAGAAGCTTTGGGAAGAAAAAAACCCTGAAAAAACTGTTTCCTTAACAAAATAAATCTGAATTAAAAATGTAAACAATAATAGAATTAATAAAATAGAAAGTTAACAATAACAAAATATTAGTATGAACATTTTCAACTTTATTTAATGTTTCGTATACTTCCGAGATGCGTTAAACAACCTGAAGGGTAAACTCTCATTCAGAAATGATAATGTGCAACAACCCGGTGAAACATCACGGTCTCTCAAAACAGAACCCTGTCCATTTCGGCTAAACGCATCTGCTATTGTGTTGTTAAAACCTGTCATCTGCCTCGGGCACACTGTCATCTGCAACAAGAATAACAAAGACAGGCGACAAAAAGAAATCCAGACATTTTATATTGATGTCAGCTCGATTTTATTTACATACAATGAAAATGATTTATTTTCTTTAAGAGGTGGAGAAGCGGACAGGGAGAAAGAAAAGAAGAGGAATGGTCTGTCAGGCCGTTGAGAAAAGAAGTTTAAAATGCCTTGAACTATTCACCGCTGAGATGGCTAATCAGTATTGAGGCTCCAGGGCAATCGGGCAGCTTTTCAATGCGGTTTTCCTTTCATCTCAATCGGGATGGAGGCGCTCAATTAAAAGCCTATCAGTTTGTAAGTAAATCAACGCCTATCAAAGTTGTCACATCAAACAAAACGATTATTATTGCAACCCGCCTCTGCCATTAATCTCTTTATGTGGTAATCTGCTTGACAGGTCAACTTGGAGAGCAAGAAAACCTGGAGTGGACAGTCAAGGGGCCAAATATATGATTTTGGTGGAAAACAAAAAAAAACGACATCCTATAAATAAAACAAAGTTCATAATCTGCCGCAAACTCAATTTAGGATTACATTTATAGGCAACTGAGTTAAATAATATTAAACAAATATTCCCAAACATTGTAAAAAGTAGAATACACTACAAAAAAAAGAAATACAAAGGACTGTTAAACAAGAATAAGACACATGTTGTTAGTTAACAGTTAAAAAACATTGACTTTTACTTATAGGCCTACACTGGTCTGCATGGCTGACTACAGTTTTGCAAACTATGAATTTAAAAAACAAGTCCTAATTATATGTTCTATGATGAACATGTCATCATTTTGTGTTATAAATAAACAGCAGCTCAAAATCAAATGTATTTGAATGTGAGAGTTCGTAAAATGGGGCAAAAGTCTAAATGAGCTCATCTCTATTTCTTTAAATGTTTTCAATGTTGTCTGACAAAAAAAGGGGGGACGTTTCACAATATGCAAAGATGTGTGATTGATAACAGGCTTGCTGCTTTCTGCAAGGGCTGTCAGTCCGTGACACAATATGTGAGTTATTAGGGCAAAGAAGGGCAACCATAAATTTTCACTGTCAGGCGAAAACCCTCTTTATTGTCCGTATGACGAATGGGCTTCTGCACCAGACACCAAAATACTCGGCATTCCCCTTAAATGGGAACACATTTTTGCGACCATAATTCATGATATTTAAATAGAAAGTTTTAATATCCCTATATATTTCATAACACTGACATGTTTATGAATCACTCTCTGCATGCAAATACAACTATTTACATCTTGTGGGGAAATATGTTGGACTTGCAGGTTAACTGTTAACTATATGCTGTGCCGTCTTCTTGCTATGGAGCAAAACAAGCAAATTCCCATGATTTATTTATATACATCAACATTGAAAAGTGTTTGTGTATAGCTATTTAAAATATAAATTACACAATTTAACAACTTTCCTAATTGCACCATCAAATTCCACGTATATTTATACTTTTACCAAAGTACTTTTATTTAACAGGCTCAGGGTATTTTGAAGCTCTAAATTAAAGGAAGTTATTTTTATCATTGTGGTTTCAGTCCGTTTTCACTCTATTAAATACTGTGTGGCGAAATACTAGCAATAACCAAACAACTTTTTTTAATAGACGCACAACATAAAATATCAGATAACATAGAAATGGAATAAATAGGAGACAGGCGGTAGGCTACATACAAACATTTTAAAAGACATGCATGCATAAAGTAGGCCTATTACATATTTTAGTAAAACTCCGAGGAGGATGATACAGGTTTACAGGAAAGTCCGTGACGACATTACCTGGAATCATTTCCTACTAAGCTCCGATGTAAAACGTAGACAGGCAAGAGGATAACAAATAACACTGTAACGACTTAAGACGCAGTCCTTCTTTTTAAACGAAACAATTTGGCATTACACAAACACATCAGCTTTCACAGGGTGTAAAATGTGAAGCACCGCAGGCGCAAGGCACAGTGAGACCGGAGCCATGCAGACCCTCGCGCTCTCTCTCCGGCAGGCTGCAGAGGGAAAGCGAGTTTTTCCGCGTGTGGGAGGTCCCACGTGACGTCACACAACATGCAGTGAAGCTCAGGAACAACATGGTGTTCTCAAACTTTCTCCAGAGTGCCACTATGTACCTCAGATTATGCAGGTATGCATGTCGTACTTCATCAGAGCACTACAGCAAGTATTTACTTATTAGCTTCAAGAAGTAAACATAGCAGTGAATTAGCTGCTTTAGGTTGCAAAGTCTGCTTGTATGTTGACATGCTCTCAGAGCACAGTGGATCATAATAACAATGTAATGTGTGAGAGTGTATGAATAACGAATATTTTGGTGAATCAGTGTGTAAAAAAACAATATGTTTAACCTATCAGATTCCGATACACAAGTGTTTATATATAGTCCACATATGCAAAAAGTTAAGGATAATGTATACATAGTGACTTTAAATCTAATCTTAGACTAGACCAAGACACATACACAAGATATTTGCAATATTTAAAAATTAGTCATTGTTAATACACATTGTTGCACTACTTTGCAAACCAGCAAAGCCACAAACAAAAATGTTATTAGGATCAAGGTTGGTCTGTCTAACATCAGTTTACAATTATACAATATTGATACAATCAAGAGGTATACCATTCAAAGCTTAACTGCTGTAGTATCCATGGCCTATCGACTATAACCATAAGTAAAACCTGTTGGTCATATTGTTAAACTTATCATTATTTTTGCCATGCCAAGCGTGAAGCCCATATAATTCCTTCAGAGTTATTCTACCAAGCAAAGAAGGAGTTTTTGTCCCTATTGTTCTTCTGTCCATGCTGCCATTTCATTTTATGTTCCATTTTAAACGGCTCTTTGGGGGGAAATTAAAACTCAAATATTATACTCCAAAACTATGGATGGGTGAACAGGAGCATAGGTTTTAAATCAGTCACCAAATACAATAGGGTTTTACTCCTGCTTCCACGTTTTGTCTTTGACCTTTGCACAATAACTAACAAAAACAATCGTGTTTTCTTATTTGCCCCTGGTGGTGAGTGATAATATACCTTTAATATGATTTCCTCAGATTCTGAGATATGGCAGTGAGAGCTTTGCCTTAATCTGGCAATACAATGACATTTATAAGAATTGTGTTTGTCACACGCACACATCAAGGCAACATATCTGCACTGTTTTTATTGGAACTTTTTATGGTAGAAAATTCTACCAACCCTTTGAACAGACAAAGCAGACAGACAGCTCATTAACTTGGGGCTTAGCATTATAGGGTTCTAACAAATATACATTATGCAGGGCTACATGGATTAATTCATACAACAGGGGGAACGCATGCTTTATCATTAGTAGCTTTTTGAAAACCATATTGTGTATCTTCATCAATAACTATTTGTTATTGCATCTCAGGTTGGCTACTGTAGCTACTGTAAATCCCACTCCTAACAGTGCGAAAGTAGTAGCCTAGCTAACACCTCTGCTTTAGCTGTTTGGCGACACTCAATGAGGGTGTTGTTGCTGTACAGATTGTAAAGTCCCAGGCAAATTCAGCAAATGTTGTGATAGTGGGCTGGAAAAAAAGACATCAAATTAAGGCATTACATTCAGTTAAATGGATTCTTGAACCATGATATAGAAGATATTTACAACTTCTCTTGGTAGGCTACTTTGTATAGTCACTTGAAAACATGCAGGCTATTCCTGCAGTGTATCAGGTGCTTATAGTCTACCTGGCTGTTAAGAGTTTGTTATACAAAAACACATTTGTCTTCTTTACAATGTGAAGGTGTTTTAATTTAAATCATACGTGTTTCTCAAATGCAAGTAAAGCTAATGCTTGCAGGTTACTGTCTATTCATCCAGAGGCAGTCAGCAGCACTCATATTATACCCCTAACAAACACTGTGTCCGCGTGCTTACAGTCTGGTGCTTCCGCAAAACAGTGGGTCAGCTGATTCAAACGGCACGCGGAAACTGTAAAGTCAATTTTGAAAGCGCCAGTAGCTCTCCAAAGTAGCCGGGCTAAAACCACAAATAGGCATTATTTTATGTTGACAGCAGCGGGTTTCTGAGCAGAACTTTGGATATCAGCTCAGATAGCGTATCCTGAAAACACAGAAACCGATCTGTCACCCTCAGGAGAAAGTGATGGCACATAACGAGTCGTTGGTCGCTTTGAATGGGACTCAAGTAAGTTTGTTTTGGGAAATGTTTCTGTCGGACTTCGCCCCTATTGCTTTACTCAGGTTTACGTTATCAGTGATCGTTTAAAAAGTGGAGATTACCAGTGCTGAATGTATACGGGGATTTGTTTATTTCCTATATGACCGGTGTCATGTGACACACTGTACGTTACAGTGACTTTCAGTTTAACAGATCCTCCTACAATTTCTCTGGAGAGCATAATGCCTCCAATATGCAGCAATAACATGCAACTTAATAACATATTGAAGTGTTGCAGACTGTACAATGATCATTTGAAAGGTTTTGAAAAATTATTATTTAGCAACATGAATAGCATGGCTGCAGTACACACTTCTGCACCTAGCCTTCATCCTCACTGTGTGGTTCACTGATGATTCTTTATCATTCTATATAATTAATATTGTTACATTCTGTATGAACAGTACCATTTAGCATGTCAGGGGTGTGTTTGTATTATTGCTACTTGTCTCTCTTTTTTTACTTTTAAAGATTTCCTACATCGGACATGACTGCAAGGACATCCCAGACTTTCTTGGGGACACATATGGCCTGTTTGCAAGAAGATTGGATCTAAGCTTCAACCAGCTCAGGTAGATGGCAGATGCTAAGCTGTACTCTTGGATGTATATGCTGTCTGTCTGCCTGCCTGCCTGTCTGCCTGTCTGTCTGTCTGTCTGTCTGTCTGTCTGTCTGTCTGTCTGTCTGTCTGTCTGTCTGTCTGTCTGTCTGTCTGTCTGCCTGCCTGTCTGTCTGTCTGTCTGTCTGTCTCAGTTTGTAGCTGGTAGACATGCATCTCTACATCAGGATAAATTGAATGTGTGCTATGGGTCTATAGGTGGTCAGAGTGTCATCATGACATCAAAGAGCTGAATGAGTGTTATTACTGGGCTGGTGCCACGCTGGGGCAGGATAAAAGGCGTGATCGATTAATGTGACATGCTAATTCGGGGGCAAATAGAAGAAAAGATTCCTCTGTCAGGTCATGAAGGAACACCTCATGGCAGCTGCTTCAGAGGGGGCTGCCATTTCAACAGCAGGACTAGCACAGTTGATCTGGCAAGTAAAAGAAAGGAGATGATGGTTATAAGGTGCTCTTGTCTCTGAACCCTTTTCATGACTGTCAGGCACATGAAGCCGTCTCAAAAGAGGCACTTTTTTGTTGAAGTGTTTTGTCTTGAGGCAGTGCTTGACGTGTGTAGTCCTCAATATAACTGATTCAAATTGCATCATACTGCTTAATCATTGCAGTACTGATGCACTACACACAGTGTTCTGGAAGGCTGCAAAAATATGTTGTATGGGTCAGCTCTTTAAGTGCCTTTGAGCAAGATCCTTTGAATGTGTATAGCTGTGTGACATAGAGACAGCCTTTGAAACATATTCTTTTGATTTTGACACATACAACATGAGACCTACTGACCTAAAATGTACTGTATTTATGAGTTCACACAGTTTAGCATGTATGCGGTTCACCTTTACAGAAGGTAGTGTCTATGAAGACTACTATAAGCATAGTTAAGTATGGCGGCTGCCCTTGTTAAAAGGATCCTCAATATACAGAAAAATCTAATTGCATGTGTTGTTTTAAATCTTTAAGTCTCTTTAGTGTACAACACTTGGTCAAATTGGGTTAGGGTTTGTTTCTGTACTTTCTAGCAGTGTTACCTTGTTTACAATCTGCTATGAGGCTATTAAGTTAAATGCCATCATAACTAACAGATGGGAATAGCTTGAACCAATAACAGTTTGTATAATACAGTATGTTTGTTCTTAAACTTATTATATGTCCAGATTCTGGCAGGTATATTTACAACACTGACCAATATTGTGGTCCAAATGAACTTTGTCATTTGTATGGCCCCACACAAATATTAGCAAATGTTACCCTGCATGTATTTACAGTATAAGGAACTGTTGTAATGCTTGTTCAAATACCTGATGAAAGTTGGGTAGAGTGTTATAATCAAACTACCATCAGTAAGAGAGATGATGTTCATGAGTTTTATATTTGATTAGTCATGCTGCCCTCCGACACACTTGTTGTTTATGTCATTATCAACTTGTAGTGACTGGACTTTTGAATAACCTTTCCTTTAAAAGATTATGATAGCCATCAGATTGTGACTTCCTTGTGACAAACAGTAGATGTCTTGGCGTTACCTCAGAAGAAACGATCTTATGTCTTTATGAAATCCGACTGAAACAACCCTTTTGTGTGTAGCTTTCAGTGAGATCAAGGCTGGCATTATGTTTCTCGCCTTTGAACCCGTCACATTAAGGACGTGATGTTCAGAATCAAATATTTATCACTCAGATATTATTCATTCATTAATAATTTCAGTTTGCCTAATCTCAGATGTCAGATATCATTACTAAACTTCAAAGGGGGGTATGGGCAGATAAGCGGTGCAGAAGCAATGAAGTGGTGCTCAAACCTTTTGGGGCTCATATCAGTGGAATATTGATTGATGGCTGCTTGTGAGCAAAATGATTTCTTACATAGGGCTTCATATTATTCTCCTATATACAGTAGGTTTAAATGGCTCATCATAAGCACAACATGATCTCTTTATCTCTATCCATAGCTATAACATATAAATGTCTAACATGCTATGAAAACCTTAGCACCAAACACATTACAAATGTATATATATCCACTATTGTTTCTTACATTTGTTCTGTCACTATTGGTGTCTGTGGGTGATCACATGACAACATTGGGAGATCACGGGTGAGTCGAGCTGTGAAATTCAATAAGCGGCTCAACATGTGATAAAGTGTTATGCTAACTAAGGCATAGCCACCCACTCAGTAGTTTGATCCCCATAAGAATGCATCTAATAGACAGGGACCCCAGACTCACAGCTTATTGGTGAAAAACGTTCCACAAAAAGGTTACGCATTTCTGCACCTGCAAACCTTTTCAGTTTGTGGTGAGGATAAAATCAAATACTACACTATTATTTGGCACACTATATTGATATAAATAGTTCAACTATAAATGTCAGCACACACAGCTTCTTATGGCTTTAATAAATGTAAAGGCACACTTCCCCCTTGTAGGATATAAATGAACCTTCCATATATTAGGAAGTGTGATTCTTTTGTTGTTGTTGTTGTTGTATATAGTAAATTAGATTCTCACATATCTTTAAGCCATTATAGCTACATACTGATCATGCTTCCTTAAAAAAGGACAACATTCAAGCTAAGCCTCATCGCCATATGACATTGTCCATAATTACAGATTGTATTTAATTTTGTAACACAATATTATGTAACCATTTTCTCCCTAGCTTCAACTTTCAGGAATCTATGACATGCATGTCAGATAGTTGAGACATTTTTGTATTGGCACTATGACCTTGTTTCAGTGTCAGCTCTAGCAAACAGATGCACATGTTGTTGAGACTCTGTGGTCTGCCTTCAGCATCATGTACTTCTTCATGCTGCTCAACTCAAATTGAGAGCGAGGCATTGCCAGAGTTTGTATAGCTAATGTGCTTATTTCTGTCAGCTCAATTGACAACACTCATCCAGCCACCTGACAATGAGCCACAATGAGAAGAAATGTACTGGCACCTTTACTGTGTGTTTGTGTGTGTGTTGCACATATGTTTATGTTTGTGTGTATGCTTGCCCATGTTTGCTTGCATGCAGTGTTTGTGCATCTGTCTCTGTGAGCATAACTGTGAGTGGCTGGGCAGGTAATGGCAGGATGAAATTATGGTAGCAAGCTGTCACACCCACACCTCTCGCTCTGTGTGCTGCACTGTCAGCCTGTCTCATCAATGTGTTGAGAAGTGTGGCTCACGATGAGATTTCTGTCTCGGGACGGGCTTGGATAGTATTGTGTCGTCCACTTTGTTCCAGGTCAGGTGTGTACACAATGCAGAGTGGGCATGTGCTGTCTTGACATGATCCCTCGCTGTGACTCGGGTGCACTTTGGGTGCCTGCATCTGTTACTTGCAGTGCTGTTGCCCTGGACACATGAGGTTTGAGGAGGACACATGTCGGTGAGTCACAGGATGAAACCTAATGTTATTAGACCTGAGGATAAAGGTCCTCACTGTTCTGACATGGCATCTAATAAACAAATCACATTTATGCAATGGCAGCTCTTGCACAACCTTAGACCCAACCTGAAAGTGATCTTAGATTTGTTTTCGCCAGTTATATCTGCCAATCACTTGTCCTCTCACCACATGTGATGGCTATTACTGTAAATTGAATGTAAAATGTTGCTCGCAACTGTCAAATATTTGCTTTAGTTGATCATAATGTTGATCATTCCAGTTGATCTAATCTGTCAAACAATTGCTATCTACAGCAGGACTTGATTACATTCAAGTGCTTAGAAATGTACACCAAAATAGGAACATCTGTACAAACTATTACAACAAAAGCCTTCAATAATGACCACTTTTAGCATATTCACTTTGTTGCGACCCTTTCAGAGAGGTTTTATTCAACAATATTATTGTCTTGTCAATGGCTGCATGAGATTGAGTAATTCTTAGTGGCATTGCAGTTTCATCATAGGTTAAGACTCCAATAAAGTGTAGATGAATATGCTCTGAAATCTTAATGCACACACTTAAAGCAACCACGGATGCATTCGGAGGAAATTTACCATTTGTTTACAGGGAATCCAGTTAACCTGTAGCACTGGTACTTGACTCTCTCCTTCATCAATTGAAGAGGTTGACCTGTATACTGTCTACAGTTAGACAAGGACATTTAACACACCCCGTTAGCAACATAAATAATGCGTTTAATGCCAAGCCTCAATTAGCATGCATCCCATCCTGATCTTGCTATGTTGTCTTTTTATCTGTTCGCCAATTAGATATACAATTGGAGCAAAGCAGCTGTCTTTAATTTTCCGACCACAAATAACCTTCATTTATTTATACCCACAATAATGTGTAGCAGATGAACTCCTGACTCTCGACTTTTAAGTCGAAATTCAGCCTGCCATTAAGAAAGAGGGGTCCATATTGTACTTTTGCTTTGCAGATTAACCTCAGCTACCTGTGTATGTGTGTGTACAGTATGTGTGTGTCTGTGAGTATCTGAGGGGGTATGTGTTCACCCGGGCTATGTTGGTGATGGCAGGCGTTTTGCATTTTAATGACAAATCAAGTATGCTAACTCGCGCTTTAAAACGAAAGTGCTCTAAATGTCGCCTGGCTGTCAAAATGAGATGTAAGTAGTCTGATGAAAAGAGAACAAAGAAGACAAAGTAGGGAGGCCCGGTACACTGAGAAATGAAATAAAACCTTGTATGGCCTGTCAGCTGTGTCATTTTATATTCATATCTAAAGAACATTATAGTATTACTCCGCAGCTCATGCCTCACTCATCTGTCTCTCTTAATTCGTCCCAGGCACCGCTCTGTCTTTCAAGTCGCTGTATGTCAACACGGGAAGGGGCCTGTTAATTGACAAATGAGTGTCACAGACATCAAGTGCTCCTTTTCTAATCCAGGCTAGGTAGACTCTGGTTGTTTGATGGTGAGGGGAGGGGCCGGGGGGTCTGTTATTGGCAGAAGCCCAGTAAGAGGCATTAGACCAGTCCTAGAATGAG